TACACGCAGTGTGTGCTCACACGTTCGTGCACACACAGCCATATGCACAGCGTGTGAACGCAGGGTCATTCATGTGCACACGAGTGAGAATCGTGCACTATGCTCACATTTACACACACATGTAACTTGCCAACTGTGAAGAGGCAAGCGCCGCGTGGATCCTGGGGCACTCAGACGTGTCACATGTACACAGGGCACACAGGTAAACTGACTCATCCCCCATACGCGCGCTCACTCACACACACACCTGCGCACACACACAGCTGGGAAGTGGAGGCCAGCACACCTGGCCCTCATTCAGCCGTGGAGGCCAAGGCCACGGGGGTAGGAGCAGGTCAGCGGGGCACAGGGACAGGAGCCAGTGAGGCCGGCCAGGCTGCTGCTGATGGAGGACGCCCTTGGGCATGGAGGCCTCGTTGTCCCCCCAACACACCTTCCGATTGGTTTGACACCAGCAGGTGAGGCCTTTGCAGGGAGGTGGGGCAGGAGGGGAACCTTGTGACCTCTGGCTCCCTGTCCCGTCTGGGCTGCCCCACTGCCGGCCCCGGCCCACCTCTTCCAGCCTTTGGCCTGAGGATCTGCGGTCCTGGAATCAGGGCCAGGTGTCAAGAGGACAGCGGCTGGCTGAGTGTGGGAGACCATGGCATCTGGGGAAACCGAGGTCAAGTAGGTGGGGTTAGGGAGAGAGCTCCGAATGCGGCTTCCCTCACCCCACGGTGGTGCCCCCTGGTGCCACCAGCCGCAGCAGCTACCGAGCGCCCAGCCAGGACGGGGAGCCCAAATGCAAGTGTTTATTTAGTTTCATCTAATTTAAATTTTAAAACTGATCTCCAGTTTAGTTATTTCATGGTTGGAAAACTTACAAGTCTATTTGGAACAACTCTGGAGTGCAGATCCACATCCCCAATTATAAACTGTATGAAATTTAAATACCGACCCGCTCTGTCTGATGAACACTTACTGTCTGAATTCAAATGGCTTGGGAGGGTGAACACACCCACCGGACATGAAAGATGGAGTTTGAGAGAACGCAAGCTATCTCAATTACTGTATGTGGATCACATGTTGAAATCATCTTCTGGATATACTGGATTAAACACGAGGTTGGTAAAAATTAGCCCACCTGTTCCTTCTTACGTTTTAAAAGGTGACACCTGAACCGAATGAGATCTGTGGCTCATACTGCATTTTTATAGGAACCTAAGGACGCAGGCAGGGGGCGGGGCAGGAGACGATCGGTTCGATGCCCAGCTCAGAATCACCCGGGGTCGGCTCTGTCCCTGTTCCGGATCTCGCTCTCCCCACCCACACCCACCCTCCGGCACCTCGCTAGGCCTGTGGAGCGGGGCACTCACTCTGGCCGTACTGGCCGTACTGGTAGCCAGCCACGGGGTCCACGCTGTAGCCGGTGGTGCTGTAGGTGGGTGGGCAGTAGGACTGGGACGTGGGCAGGCTGTCTCCCGACTTGATGGACTCGGCCCGCTGGCAGCTGGCCGAGATGGAGGAGGCCGAGTCCAGGCCGCCGTGCAGCGGGGAGATGGAGAAGTCGGCCTGCGGCTGCGGCGGCACCGCGCTGGGGTTGCTCAAGATGCTCATGACCTGCGGGAGAGACGGTCAGTGTCCCGTCCGGCACAGCCCCGCCCCGCACCCGACGGTCCCCAGCAGCCTGGTGCCGGGACGGCTCCCCGGAGGGCCCCGCAGCATCCACGGCTATGGTCTCTGGGATTTCTCCTCCCCAGGCCTGACGGCAGGGCCCGCCCTCCGGGGTGGGGTCTTCGGCACCTCCCCCAGGGCCCCGCTGCGGAATGAATGGATGAACGGATGAAGGATGGATGAATGAGCGAGTTAAGGGAGTCCGGCCGAGTGCGCGAACGAGCGCAGGCGAGCAGTGCGCCTTCACAACGGACTAGGTAGGTATCTCTCCTACCAGTCAGGGAGCCCCGCCGGGTTAGCGGCTGTGCTTCCCCACCGGACCAGGAAGGCCCCATCTTCCGAGGTGAAAGGGAGAGCGGGGCTCCGTCCGCCGACTCCACCCGCTTTCCTGTGCTACTTCTTCCACACCAGAGTTCAAGGCCGGCGCTTGAAGTACCTTCCCGGACAGGCCTTGGTTTTGCCAGCTCCCCAGTGTCTGCGACCACCACCCCCTCCCTCTGCGGCCTGGTTCAGCGAATTAAGTCTCACCATTACGGCCGACGCCGAGGCTGGTCTCCAGAAACCCGAGAGCCTGGTGTCGGGATAGTGGGATGTTCATGTATTCATTCAACAAACAGGCAATGTGGTAACTCTGGCCCCGGGCTTCTAGCTGAGGATTGTGGGACGTGGGGGAAGTCCTGCTTCTACATTGGAGTTGCAGGATGGGGCAGGGAAAGGACTGGGTCTGTCTGGGGAGGCGACAAAGTCGATCAAAACCCAGAGTGATGGGGGGGCAGCCCCAGGAGAGTGCGCAGCCTGAGGGTCCCTATCCAACCTGGGGATGACCGAGGAAGGTGGGTGCTTGTAGTCCTGGTGACCTCCTGGCGATGCCTATGGGAGGGGACAGCTGTTCAGGTCACCCACCCAGCTCTGGCTCCGGGCGGCAGAGCCACACAGCCCGGTGCTGTGGTCTCTGATGTCCTCGCCCTCCCCTCTGGAGTACGAAGGCTGCGGGCCCTGGAGAAGGTGCCCAGCCTCGGTACACTGAGGGCGGCCACAGAGGAAGGTGGAGATGGCACCAAGAGGTGCTTCACACCTGGGACAGTGGAGGTGTCTCCCGGCTTCCCTGTGAGTGCTGGGGAAGGGATGAAGGTGGCCGGACAGAGACGGTGGGGCCTGGGTGGGGCTGCACTCCAGGATCAGAGGGGCTCAGCCACTCCCCCAGGAAGCCTGAGGCCCAGCTCTCACAGCAGGTGTGCCAGGACTGACTCCCAGACGGCGGACAGACAGCAGAAGAGAAGGGGCAGAAGCCAGGGCCGGCTGCATCTGGACCACTTTGGGAAACCTCGCCATTTTAGGGTGCAGCGGGGTCCCCAACTTGCTGCATATACCCCAGGTCTCTGTCAGCAGGGCCAAGAGCGGGTGCTGGGGTGGGCATGTGTGAGGTGTTCTGAAACACGGGCTGAGGGGCTGGGACCGGAGGAGAGGATTTCAGGGCCAACTCGGGAGCCAGACCACCTCCCAGGCTGTGTGCTGGGTGCCCACTCCCCACCCCACAGACGCACAGCCTGCTCCCCACAAAGGAGTTCTGGCCCCTCAGGACTCACAGGGAGACGCGTCACTCAGTGCAGACTCACACCAGCCCAGAGGGATGATGGGAGGGGATGGGGGTGCTTCAGGAGGGGCTGGGAGCCACGCACAGACCCAGTACTCATCTGGTCAGACAGGGACTGCAGAGAACTGCAAACAAATCTGACCACATCACTCAAGAACTATCAATGGCTCCTCAGTACCTCTCTGCAAAGGCTTCTTGTGATCTGTCCTTTACCTGCCTGTCCCAACCCCTCCCATCCTTTCCTGCTCTGGACTTCACGCTACAACAACATCAAACAATGGGTCTTTTCCTGAAGAGAATTTTCACTCACTGTTATTCATTCAACAAACATTTCGTACAGCGCTACTATGTGCTGGGCTCTACAGATGCTGGACTGTGAACACTCTGAGGGCAAGAGGATGTATTCTACTACCTCTACAGCCCCAGTGCCTGTATTGTGCCTGCTACATACAGCGAGCTCAGAAAAGCTTTGCTGCGTTCATTGAACAATATTTATTGAGCGCTTATGTGCCAGACGCTAAGCTTAGGGGCATCGCAGTGGAGACTCCAACTCTACATCCTTCAGGAGCTGCCAGTCTAATGAAGGGAGCTGATGACAAAGAACTGAACAGATAAACCGTGTAACTTCTGGGTCTGACGAGTAATGTAGAGGAAAAATGAAAGGGCATGGTGAGTGAGTGGGTGGGTGGGGGGTCAGGCAAGACTTCCTCAAAGGTGATGCCCAGCAAGTCCAAAAAGAAGCTATGGCAGAAGACCTTCCTAGGCAGGGAAATCTGCATGTGCAAAGGCCCCGGGGCAGGAACACAGCCAGCAGGTTTTAAGAAACAGTAAGAAGGTCTGCTCTCTCTGAGAAGAGAGCTGCCTAGGAGCTGCCAGGCCTCCTGCAGTCCTTTGTTTGAAAGGGCTTGTGTGGTGCCCCATGGCTCAGAGACCTTGGACCCTGGCAGTTAACACAAAGCTCAGGAATAGCTCAGGCCCAGGGAGCTTTTCCCATAATGGGATTTGCTCAATGGGATTTGCCCTGGAACATCAAATCACATCCACATCTGGGGTAGGTGTGAATGGGGGTGGCTCAGTGTTGGCGTGGTCTCTCCCAGGGTCCCCAGAGGCCTGTGGATCAAAGTGCTTCCATTTCAGCCGACACCCTGTCTCTGGGCCCGGCAGCTTCCAAGTGAACGGGACAGCACCCAAATGAGGAGAAGCAGGAGGGGGGACCCTGCTGAGGGAGGCCCACAGGCCCTGGCTCGCACTTTGGTCACTGCAATGCTTCCTCAAGCGAACAGGTTATTATCACTCCCATTCTGCAGATGGGGAAACTGAGGCACAGGGCAATTCAAAAGCTCATCTGAGGTCACAGAGCCAGGAGTGGTGGAGCTGGGATCTGCACCAGGTCCCCAGGGCCCCCGCTGTGTCGCCCTCAGAATCCCCCAGTGAGCGCGGAGAGCCTCACAGGGCCCCCTCGGCCCCTCCCAGCCTCCTGCCGGCCCAGGGTTCTGCCCTCAGATGCCGGAAGCTCTGCCCACAGTGAGGGGCCCTGCCGAGGTCCGGGCCTGCAAACTTTTGAACTTGAGGAAGTCCCCTCCCGATGTGGTGATCCACCCCCCTCAAGAATGCCGAGCCCTCTCCCCGGGTGGGTTCTACGTTTCCCGGTGACCTTGCTTTCACTAATGTATTACTTCTTGGTACTTACCGTTACTAACTCAAAATCAATACCGACCTCCACATCTGCAAGGTTTTATCTGAAGGCAAATCTCAGGGCCGTCCGTCAGGCTGACTGACAGCTGTCCCTTCCTCCCCCCTCGCCCCACCCAGCGCTGCCCCCCTTTCCTCCTCCTCAGCTCCAAATCAGTCCCAGCCTGGACCAGACTAAATCAATAAGGGGTCAGCCTCGCTGCACAGCCTCTGCCTACCCACCCCCTCCCCCAAGACGCGCCCGCCGCTCCACTACTTTAAAAGAAGGGGATGGGAAAATGTAATTAATTCCCTCCGTTGCTGAGCTGGCCCTGAGGGCCTGGGACGGAGGAGGCTGAGCTGTGAGGTCTGCACCCTCTGTGATAACCGAACGTGGCTTGGGGAGCGCGGCTGCAATTAGAGGGCAGCCTCTGCCTACCCACCCCCTCCCCCAAGACGCGCCCGCCGCTCCACTACTTTAAAAGAAGGGGATGGGAAAATGTAATTAATTCCCTCCGTTGCTGAGCTGGCCCTGAGGGCCTGGGACGGAGGAGGCTGAGCTGTGAGGTCTGCACCCTCTGTGATAACCGAACGTGGCTTGGGGAGCGCGGCTGCAATTAGAGGGGCCATCCCATCATCCGGGCTCCGCGGCAGGGTCGCCGGCTGGGCAGGGGCCGCAGCAGGGTGCGAGGGAGAAGGAGGCGCAGGGGCCCGGACTGGCGAGGTCGGGATGGTGAGAGCAGGGGGGCGGGCTGGATTCAGATCCGGGAACCCCACTTCCCCACAGCCAGGAGGGGAGCCTAGAGTCTCCAAGACCTGCTGGCAGTTGGCTGTGGCGCCCTCGCCAGTTGGTGCTGGGTCTAGGGCTTCCCGCAGCCCCGAGGCGTCAGTGTCTTCCCCAGCATTCGTGCCTTGGCTGACTAGCGACCCTGGCAGTTTCTTCAGCCTTCCGGGCCTGCGTCTTCCCATCTGTTCGATGGGAACTGCAGCTTCCTACAGGACCACTGTCAGGACTGAGGGAGCAAGTGCGCGCGGAATTCTCGACAGGCTCCAGCTGTCCTCCCCAGCCTCTCCCGACTGGCTTACAGCTGAAGAGAGGGCAGAGGTAGACGGCAGGTGTGGCCACCATCCTGAGATCAAAACGGCCCTAGAGAGCAGAGTCACAGCCCCTCCTGGTCAAGGACGTGCCCTTTTCCTCTCCTTTCCCCCAGGAGCAGCCCCCTAGTGGGTGCCATCTGAGAGACGTGTTGCTCTTCCTTGGAAAAGTCCTGCTCCCCCTTCAAGGCTGGGGTGCAACCAGGAAAGAGAGCAGGTGCATGTCACTTCCACAAGTCCCCTGCCCCTCCGGCCTGCACCCGTGGGTGGCATCGATGGGCATGGAGCAACGGCAGACCCACGAAACCTGCCTGCCTCCAGCTGGAGAGGACCAGGTCTGAACTCCTTGACCCCGTGCTTCAAGGACACACATCTGACTGCAAGACGGGGGCACCCAGAACACCTCTTGCCCACACTGCCAAAGAACTTTGTCTCAAACCCCCAATTAACAGTCAGACAATCTTTCTATTTGCCCGGTTGCTTTAGGTAAACTCCACATATACTTCCAAACACACAAATACTTCGATGCACATCTACATACATGCCAGGTGCAGGGACCCAGGAGGAGCCTGACTTGCCTGACCCG